GGTGGTGATGGTCGAATTGGTGGTGCCCATGAAGGTGCCGTACCTGCAGCGGTGGACCGTACGATTGCCGGGTCTCCGTTCATCGTAGCATTTTTACACACGGCGAAGATGACGGGAGTTTTGTTTTCTTGGAAAATGCTTTCTTGATTCCAACAACAGGACGTCTGCCATGTTTACATTGACGCTGTTCCCGTTGAAGATCGCCAAGGTGGGGAGTAGTGTACTTTGAGACAATAACCGAACGACCGTCAACGCAGGGACTTCTGAGCTTTTACACGTATGGTCATCTTCCTCATCTTCTGTCATCGCTGACTGAGACTTGTTCCCGTTCTGAGACTCCTGTATGCCGGCAAATTAACCCGACTTGGTTGAGGCTCAGCGATCATCTTGAACCATGGCTCACCAGCGTGACAGAGACAGCAGAGAGCCTGGCTCGCCTGATCCCCCGTACCCTGGATTCTATAGCTCATCTTGTTAAAGCATGCCAACGGCGTAGTAAAGCCATTTCCGAGTCACTATCAGCGCTGGTCAGGTCTGATCCAGATGCTTCTATATCCGATCGTCATGGTAACCTTCCTGAACTGGATCTTGGTATTTGATAAAGAATTTTCGATTGCGTGCCATGCTTCGCAAACCATCTCAGTTTTGTATCCTCGTCCTTTTTTGCACTTTGCCGTCAGTAAGTTAATCCCAGTCATCCTGCCAAGGCCTCTGTGATGGATTATCACAGTACACTAAAGATAGGGTCGCAGTCCGCAGATGTGCGTGATGGTATCGTGGGCGGTTAACGAACCTTCACCCATGGGCCTGTTTGCGCATCAAATCCCATCAGTGACGAAAAGAAAAGGCAAAAATAGACCAGACGGTTACTCACTGTTGCAACCTTTGATTGTCACTGTCGTCGCTCACTCGAGGAATGCCATCAGACATTAGACATACCTACCTGACAGCCATGAGCTGTTCCTCCCGAGCCAGAGCCCCGGTTATGCATCCGTTATGCATCCGTCTATACATCACCGCCGGGCTGACTGAAAAAGGAACGACACAAGATACCAAAGGGAGTTCTGAAGTCAAACATCAGCAACTAGCCGTACGTTTGCCACACTAAAGACTGCACGCCGGAATACTATTGCTGTACCAGCTGGATAGTCTTGAGCCACTAGACTGGCAAACATCGCCGAGACTTCCTTTCGCAGCCAGCACTGTCGAAATTGAACAATTTGTCTCTGCTATGACTTGGGGAGTTCCGTTGCGCATTGGTTTGTCCTATTCTCATCCAACATGCGTTATAACAGGTTGTAGTGTAAGTTTCTAGGGGATCCGCAAGCACAACGTCGAGGGTCATCCATCCCTTTAACGGTAAAAATGTGTCCATCTTAGCGTCCCCCACCCTCTACCTCCGGTTGTACCTGGCGACTCGTCGACGCAGCCAAGCAGCGCTATCTGGTGAGCCCATTGGTTGATTTTGAGAGTCTCCCCACATGAATTCCATCGCATCCCATGCAGCGACAAAAGTACCGCAAAACCTGGGGATTTCTAGGTACTTATTTGTAGTGTACACCATGCCTCATAATCTCAACCTCTAAGAAGGGGGACCACCGATTAGCCGTTTACATACCCCTACCGCGCTAAAATGTCACATGTTCACCATTAAAGGGATTGATGATCGGGCTTGGCTTCCAGTATACGCGTCCTGGTTGTCTAGGCTTCTTGGCGTGCAGTGATGAGTCTCTAATAGATAGGTTTTGTAGTGTATACTACTATGGATGCCCCGTGAGATACAGAGACAAACTTTACTCGGGCGAAAGGCGACATCGCTTGTCGTTCATCTCCCCATGTCTCGAGGTTGGCGAAGGGTGGGGGGAACGCATACGGGTTGGGGTTAACTACACTACCGATTTTATCACCTAATGACATTGCAGGGTTGCTAGGGTTGCTTCTGATACACCGTCACGTCCCCTCGACATCAACCAACCTTTTTCTATTTTTAGTTTCCTTGTCTGGAGCCGAACTGAAGCATCGGCCGAAATGCTCCAGAGAGGAAGGTACATACTTTTGCCAATCATCAGGTTCATGTCGGTCGGCCTGGGGGGAAGAAAGAAGAAAAAAATGCAAAATCTCGAGGAGGTTCAACAATATCGTTGTCAGACTTCCTCTGAGCTTTTCAGTGGAGTATCAGAGCCGAATTCGAACCAATATCAAACTGGAATTTTGGAGCCCTGGATCCTATTTCGAAGTCAAGAGACAAGTCTCACTTGTTCACTCAAAGTCCCCGACAGTTACACTAGAGCCAGGCTCATCTTGTACGTAACCCTATTTCCGCCTCATCTCATTCGTCCCTTCTAAACTCCATATCTTATGCCTTCCAAAAAGGTTCACCAAAGCGCCATGCTTCTCCCCAAGATTTTTCAGACATCACATCCGCCAAGCTTCCCATCTTGTCAAGTCCCCACGTGAAAACGCGTCGATATTGCGTGCTTCTTGTGGAACTTTCCAACTTTCTGTTTTTTTTCTTTAGCTTCACATGTTTGGCGACCATCGCCGGCATCGGCCCGTGGCAATCCAGCGGAAACATCCGCATGAGACTTGGCTCATCCCAGCACTCTTGATGGATCCGGAATCTTTAACTCCCGAAGCTGCGCAAAACACGTGAGAACGTGGATGATTTCGTGAGTGTCGGCCAAAAAAAGACCCAGCCAGAGAAAACGCGGACAAGGCAAATGCCGCATCTTGCACGTGTACCCACCATCGCCCCAGCCACCAAACGGGGCCCGGTAGCTGGGCTCGGTTCTGGGATGCCGGGGATCGGCCGGTCGTCGGACATGGTGCCGGGCTGGTTGGCTGGCTCGCTTGGCTGGGCGGCGACAAGATGGACGGGCACTGTGTGAGGCCGCGAGCAAGTTTTCCTGTGGATTCTTCCCCATCTTTTTTGGTGCTATTTTCTGGGCCATGGAGTTGGAGAACTCTTGCGATTTCGATATCCTGAAGAGAAGAAAGACATCGAACCAGGTCACCCACGCCACCGCCTGTCTGCATACCTGCCTCATGCTCGGACATATCGGAATCTGTTTATGATTCATCCTACGGAGACAGAGACGCACGAAAATCGCGCGACTTCACGGGACTCTACTGTGTATGAAGAGTCAGCCAGACTGGATCCATCACATTACTAAGCGGCTCGTGGATATGAACTGCCGATGTTCCTGGAAGTTATTCCTCGATCGACGATCATCTCGGACGACTCGACGATGGAAACTGGCTTTGGGATCTCGGTCTTCATCGCCATCAAGGTATGTACGCAGTATGTCCGGCTGGCGAAAGCTAATGGACACCTGGTTGAGAACTACTGGTTTCTCCTGGTAGCTTGAGAGCCAAACGCTGGCATTTGCCCGGAGTTCGGATGGCAAAACACAGGCAACATCTAACACTACTGTGTAAAGTGGGAGGGGGGCATAGAAGCTTCTAACCAGTTTCCATGTCCTTCATGCTCCGTGAAAGGGTTGCATTGCTCTCACTATTACAGGTTCAGAACCGATCATGTCGTCCTGGCATGTGATCTGGTCAATGACTGAAGACAAGGAAGAGGAAGGTAAACATCTCATAAACACATGAGCGCCTGCCTGGCTGTCGACACGATGGGTGAGATCTCGGGGACAGAAGTACCTTTGCAGCCTCCATGAACCACGATAACAACCCCCCTCATATACCCTTACCGGGAGAGTCATCTCGCTACCCTTCTCACCTCAAAAGACACAAGTAACCGGTAAGTAACCTGTCAAGAAGCAATATGCTGCTACTACTCCCCGAGTACATCATCCGATACTACCGGGTACTCCAACCGATGGTATCGCTGATGGATATTGTATATCATATTAGCCTGACCTACATGCATTTATTGAATGGAAGGGGTTGACATTTCGACCTCAGTTTCTTCAATACCTCGGGATATCAAGTTAAGTATGAGACATACAACGCCTTTGAATTGTTTCCAACTCTGAGATATCAAGTCCACTTGGAGTTAAGGGAGGTAGGAAGGCAGACATGTTGTTTTTATCCTATGCTGGAACATTGTACCAAACTCTCATGCCATCAGCATAAAAAGATATAGTGGGCAGCAATACTCGCCGTCAACCTTATATGCGCCAAACATCATCGTCCCTTGGATACCAGCACTTATCCTTCACCACGCACTACCCCTTTGGCTTAGGTGGTACCAAACGACGACACAATACCCCCTAAATATGTGTATCCGTCACCGTCTCATCTACCGCAAATGCGGCCAATTCACCTAGCTAGGTAAAACCCAAAAGTTCTCCAGTTAGAACCCAACTTTGACCTAGTTTACCTTTGAATCATACGTACATGAGAGAAAAAGAAAGGATGGGCGATTGAAATGGGTTAAAAAGAATAAAAAATCAAAGATACAAAAAGGATCAAAAACACACAACACCAGGGATTCGCTGGTCGTCACCGACCCAACTACTAGTCTGGCCCTCACTGGCTTATCTATGGGAGAGCGGACGGGATCCCGAGTTTTCCAGTGGGTATGGTCGTATGTGCTTTAATTGTTGAAAACAGAGAGCTATGAAGCCACTTTGAGCGTTGAAAACTCGTCACCAGAAATCAATGAACCCACGCCTTTGTCTCCCCACATCACATACACAAGAACATCTCAGTAGAGGAAAGCGCAAGCATAGATGGAGCGAAGAAAAAGAAAACGATTAAAAATAAGTTGTCGTATACCTCCCTTTCATGCCTGCTTGCCTGCCTAGTCTGTCTGCGTGCCTCCCTCATGATAAGCAAAGAAGATGTCTCTTCCTTCCATTTTTTTTTCATCTTTAATCCATCCATCACCATCAATTAGTCCATCAGTCACCTATTCATCACATCTCCGTCCATACACACTTTGATTCATGTCCCTCACACCCCAATACATTAAGCGCAACCACATTCGCTGTTTTTGTTCTTTCTGCTTTTTTTTTTTTTTTTTTTTTTTTTTTTTACTGATTCGGTCTTGAACTGGCCATCTCGCCATACCGACCACGATGCTGTGTTGTATCGTAGGCCTGGAGCACGCGGGTCTGCGACTCGTCGGCCTGCGAAAAGGCATAACCGCGTTGCTTGCGCATGCGCTGGACCTGGCGGACTTTGCGGATGGCTTTTTGGAATTGTTCCATACTGTTATCCTTATGTTAGCAATCGAATAGAGACAGAGTAAAAAGTAAGGAGAGGAGGGGGGGACGACGAAATATGGCAAAAACATACCGAGGCCTATAATCCTGAATGTTATACTTCTGAATCTCCTGCACGTGATGATACGCCTCCGGTCTCCACAGCCGCTTGCTAAACTTCCACGCAAAATCTCTGAGCAAACAGAGGATTGCCAGCGTAGGCATCTGGATCCAGAAGATCGGGCTCGTGAACAGCCTGGGGATGACGCCAAAGTACTCAACACTGATGTTCAGCTTGGGCGCCACCTCGCCATAGACTGCCACGAATAAGATCCAGAAAGCCATGGAACCGGGGATGGCGATGACGTGGTACTTGGTCCAGTTGTTGGTCACCAGCGCGGCTTTGCCGAGGACGGTAAGAAGGACGGCACCATACATGGCTGTACCCCAGACCCACTTGCCGCCGGGGAAACCGTCGCCTTGAGGCCCGTCGTTGAGCCAGAAGAGACAGCCGCCTACATAGAGAATGATGGAGTGGTAGACGGCGTTGATAATCCATTCGCCGAAGACACGGATCTTGAAGAAGGTGTTGCGCTGGCCGAGGTTGTAGAGCTGCGGGTAGCGGTCGAGCAGGCGGGCAGAGACGAACTGATCGAGGATACCAAGGGCGAGCGGCGGAAGGACTGTAAAAAAGACGTTGTAGAAGGAGAGAGTCCAGGATTCGTAGATGACTTCACCGGAAAAGACGTTTTGGAAGGTGTACTGTTTCAGGTCAGTGTTTTTGAATCAGAAATGGTTACCTGCATGGAACACATACCCAAAACTGTGTCAGATAAAGGCAAATGTTCTTATAGAAAGAGAACAAAATGGTCTTCGACACACGATGGTAGCTCCAGGCGCCATGGACGAGAAGCAACTTGCGGAGGTAACGGAACTGGGCAATAGACACATCGGCACTGCGCGCAGCTTGTAGACCTTCCATACCGCTGATACCGACACCAATATGGGCAGCCTGAATCATAGAGACATCGTTGGCTCCGTCGCCAATAGCGAGGAGAATCGACTCCTTTTGATACTTCTTGACCAACTTGACGACCAGGGCCTTTTGCAGAGGGGAAACACGGCAGCAGATAACGGCCTTGCACATGATGGCAAGATCAAGGAAGAGCTTCTCCATGTCCTTCTCCAGAGCGTACGTTAACGATTTGCCGTCAATAACGAGAGCCAGGGTCTCCATCTCAATGGTGGCATCGCCCTGGTTGCGGATGGCATCGAGCTTCTTCTGAAGATTATCCCGCGTAGCTTCCGCACTCTCTTCGTTGACAATGAGCAGCATCATGTCCTCACTAAGCAACTTGCAACTCATGCCAATGTTGATGGCGGTCTCTTGTCTGTCACCGGTCAAGACCCAAACCTTGATGCCAGCTTCCTGGAGGGTGTGAATGGTCTCGGGCACACCGTCCTGCAAGCGATCCTCGATAGCGGTGGCACCAAGAAGGTAGAAGTCGTGCTCGATGAGTTCGGCAGCCTTGTCCAGCTCATCTGCACGATTACCACCAATGGTCGTCTGCGCCGTCTCGTAAACCTTCATCCACTCCTGGAATTCGTGCTCCGGGATTTCCCTCATGGCCAAGCAGAGCGTGCGTAGTCCCTCAGAAGCATATTCCTCAAGATGTCGCAGGGTGGCGTCGACGTGGGGGTTCTGGTCATTGAGCCTTTCCAGGATGACGGTGTCTGCGCCCTTGCAGTAGCAACGAACCTTGCCGTCAGGGCAACGATAAATCGTGGACATTCTCTTTCTGGTTGAGTTGAATTCGCAGACCGCCAAGAGCTCGTACTCAAGCTGCTGGCCGTTGGCTTCGATGATAACAGCGCGCGGCTTGCGAGCGACAAACCTGTAGCCCAACTGTACCGCGCCATCGACAAGCGCTCCCTCATCTGGTGACGCGGCTTGGTACTTGATGCTTCCGTCTTCAGCCTGTTCCGGAATGACAGTATGGCAGATGGCGAGAAGGGTGAGAAATTGGTCAATGACCTGCGCAGATTGGTGGCTCTCGAGATTCTTCTGTAGTTGCTTGAAGTCGTGGATTCCATCCTCTCCGTCCTCACCACTCGGGATTCTATCCTCGGGCACCTTGTCGGCGTACATGATTCCAGCGATCGAGCATTGCCTATATTCCATCATGTTGCAGGTCAAGGTGCCAGTCTTGTCTGAAAAGACGAACTCAACCATGCCCAATTCCTCAACCAGACTGGAAGTTCGGCAATTGGCAGGGGTGTCATTAACGTCATAATACATATCAAGGTCGTCGTTAATGAGAATGCCGTGCCAATACTTGACCATTTCAATGGTGACGAAGAGCGAAATGGGAACGAGAGCGGAAAACAAAACCCAGTATGTGACCATGTCCTTGATGAAGATGCGAGCAACAGCCGAGGCACCGTTCATAGGATCCAAGAAGAGATAAGCGAGACCTTCCTCGCCCTCCACCTTTCGTTGGATGAGATCACCGACAGTAGATACCACGCTGAAGATCAAAAGGATACCGACGAGGAAGAGTACGAGCGTGTTCAGCTGCCTCTCGACCTTGGTGCGCTTAATCGGCGCGGCCGTGGCGTTGCGCATCAGCTTGGTCTCGTGGCCAGTGAAGACAACGACACCGTGGACCCAAGGGGTGTTGCGCAGAGTAGCACCACGGAGAAGCAACTGCTCGGGGTTTAGAGGAAGCTCCTTCTCCCCACCTCCAGCCTGCATGGTCAAGGTCGCTTCGTAAGTGTAAAGACTGCTGTTGGGCTGCTCGGAGCGAATCCTGCCTCCCAGACGACTCAACTCGCTGGAGCTGACCATAGATGACGTTTCTGGCAGAGCTTGCTTAATCTTGAGGTTGGTCTCTCCGTCGAGATTGGCGGTTTCGATATAGCAAAGACCCTCAGGCTCGGAACTCGCCAAGAGAACAAGATCGGCGGGGAAGGACTCCTCAGATTCGACTCGAATGATGTCTCCAACCGAGACGTTGATCCATTTCGTTTCCTCGAATGTCGAACCCCTCAGGATCCGGGCTTTGGACATATTGAGCGCCTTATCTGCCTGTTTTCTCCGATAATCTTCGACCATCTCTTTACCCGCCGAAACCAAGAGCACAACAGCTAGAGGACCAATTGTAGTATATCTGTTTGTGGGAGACAGGCCGGGAATCTGCTGCAAACCGGCGGTAAATAAGAAGAAGATATTGGCGAACTTGGAGAACTGCTCGAAGAGGAACTTGGGCAAGAAAGTCGCAAAATTGTACTTGGCGGTCGAGACGTGGTTGTCGACATACTTGTTCAGGCTGTTGGCGGGAGGGTTGTTGAGATGGATGATACGGGGCCCAAGGGTTGCTGGATCCGGCTTTCCGCCTCCAAACCCAAACTTGAAATCGAACTTCTTGGCTGGCTTCTGGGGAGGAGGAGGCTCGTGAGAGTGGTCTACCCGTGCGGTCGCTCGCGGATCCGTCAAGGGAAGGTCCATCTCCGAGTATCCCTCAGGGCCCATTCCAAGCATGTTCTTGGCACGACCGATCAAACCGCCACCCATGCTCAGGACGCTATTTCGTGCGCGCGCGCTGTCGCGGGCTGCCGCCGAGTCCGGAGGGATAGCTCCGCCATGTTGGTAGTAGGACGTGGTACTCTCGTCAGGGTAGTCGTCAGAGTCCTCGGCATAGCGTTGGTAGTTTCCGAGATCCGACGTTTGGCTGAAATGCCGGTCCAGCGACCTGCTATCAGGGTATGGACTTATTGGGCCTCCGCCGCCTGTCGCGCCCGGCGCAGACTGTATAGGTCTTGTAGCTGTTGGTTGTGTTGTTTGCCCGGAGCCGACGAAGTCATCGTAGGATACGGACGGGCGAGGTTGCGCGGCGCCTTGCGCATCATCGCTGTGTAGTCGCAAGAGATCGTCGTCGTTTAGGGTCGACCTTTGTCCCCCGCCATAGTATGGTTGTTCGTTGCCGAAGTCGAGCAGCAGATCGTCGTGTTGAGCGCTCGACGGGGCCCCAGGAGGGGGGCGGCCAGCCGCCATGCCGGAGACCGGGAGCCGGAAAATGGACGCTGTCGGTAGGACAGTCCGTCAGACCAACCTGAGATCGTGGTGTCGCGGAGACAAGCGAGGGATCCGAAGACAAAGGCGGGGAGTCGTGCCTATAGCGGGAATAGGAGCATCTGAGGACTCAATATGGACGAGGGGGAGGAATCCGGATACGGCGGGCACTTGGTTGTTGATTTCGGGCCGGAGTAGGTAGCGCGTGTGTAATGCAGCTTTGATGGATGTGGTCGAGCGCTGGGTAGCGTATGAGTCTAGGTAAGGTATGTTGACCGCAGGAACGTTTCTTTTTGCGACAGAATACGTGAGGTGGAACTTGGGGAAGCTGAACTGGAGAGTTGGGAATTATACGGAGAGATAGTGGATGGTGGGTTGGATACTAGCGCAGTAGGTGCCGCCGCCGTGTCATGGGAAGTCAAGTGAAGATGCAGCACAGCCTCCTTTCACGGCCGTTCAGCGCAGGATTCGCGTGTGGAATTAACAAACTGGTGCCCCCCCCCAGTACAGGAAGACCAATGATACAAGACACCAATCTAGAATAGAGGTAGGTACCAATGGGCCCGGTCGATACGGTTCCTGGTACGCGCCAATACGGTTTGCTTGAAAAGTGGTCAGGTCACGTTCAATGAGTTGAGATGCACCCCCTGACGGGATGTTGAGAAAGAGTCCAACGGTCGGTACCCAAGTCTGGCGACCTCAGGAAAGGGCAGGTTCCATGTTTTGGATGTTTGAAGATGCAGACTTTATTTCTTCTGGAATTCAGGGGATGTCAGGGATGGAGGGATTGCCTGAGTGGTGGGCTTGAAAAGCTGCACGTAATCGTAATGTACACTACCATGGGTACCGGTTACGAAGACTGGGACACTCACCCACCACTAACACCACAATCGCCTTCCCAGGGGACCAAGCCGCCAAGGCACGTCACAGCGCTCCTGTTAGCGGGTCACCGTTGTTAGGCACCATGCGTGGATTGCCAGTTGCTATGAATAAAGATGTTTCGAAAGCATTTCACCCAATCATGATGCTCCGAGGTGTGTTTGAGGCTGGAAACGAGGACGCTAAGCTCATGACTAAGCGATAGTGGCTGACAGTAGGGGCCCTTTTACCCCACCATACGCGGCCTTCTTGGTCCCTTCAAGTTCTCTGGGATGCGCCATGGGCTTGGCGGCCAGTACAGGGCACTATGGTAACAACGCCCCAGCGGACATCACCTCAACTTGCCGCCGCTGTTGTGCTCTGACCTCACCAACTTGAACCACGTAGAGCTATCTCATCAACCGTCAACAAAAGCTTGCTCACCACTTCGACTAAGAAAGATAGGAGAGACGCTCGAAAATAAATATATCCGACATGGTTTGCGCAAAGTGCCAAAAGAAGGAAAAGACGACCCTCGTTACGCCGGCGGTCAAGAAGAAGAGTGAGATGTACTATGGCTCCCCAGCAGCGGCAACATCGTCATCATCGAGCTCGGCCACGGGACCCAAAAAGTCGGCAACTCTGGGCAACACAGGAGTGACAAAGGTGAGTTTATGATCATCTTATCATCATCAGAAGATATCAAACTATTCGTCTGTACTAACTGGTCCTTACCATACAGAGCAAACTGCTGTCCAAGGCGGCTCAGAACCCCTATGCTCAATACTCCAGCACTTGTACGCGCTGCAAGGCAAAAGTATCACAAGGCCACACCTTTTGCAATAAATGCGCGTACCGCGCCAATTGTACGTCTTGAGACCCTTCCTAGGTGTTTCTGAAAGATGAATAGGAGCTAATTCTTATCGATAGCCTGCGCAATCTGTGGCAAGCCCAACAAAACTACTACTGCCGGAGCACCCCTTGTGAACGGCCAGAAGTTCACCTTGAAGTGAGCATGTCGCAGACAAATCGTTGCTGGACAGGCACGAAAATTACCAAAGCTACGCTGCGATACGATAAGCTCGAGTACAGCGACATGAACGACGTAAACGACATGCCCAACGATCCGCTTGTCCTTCATCAGTTTCTAGGTTTTGCCTGTACTGCTAACTTTATGCTGAGGGACTCGACATACAGTTGCACCGTCGATAACGACAGTTCCCGGATTACCGAAGGCTTCTTCAGTTTGACTTGACCAGGGAACGAGGTGTATCCTCCCGTGTAGAGTGTAGAGCGTTGTGCAATCCTAGAGGCTGAGCAGACGCTCAGGGGATTCAAGGGATTACAGCGCATTGGATGCCACGTGAGATCGTGTACATTTGGTGCTGGACTATGAATACGGCATGAAATGTTGGATGGATACGAGTTTACAGATGATGTCTTCAGGAAGGCACAGCCTTGCCCCCAAACCACTACTTGAGGGGGCGGAAGAGATGGATATGTAGACAGATGTTGGTGCCATGTAGGCAAAGGTACTTTCTGATTACCTCTCGATGGTAATCGTGCTGGAGTGTAGTGCAATAGGTGGTTCAGGGACAGAAGCTGTGAGCCCTACAGACGTACACCTTGGCTAAGATGGTAATAGCGGCATAATTCAGTCTTGAAGGATTTCTGTCTTCCACACCATCTGTTATCCATTCTTCACCGCTTGCCTTTGCATTGCCAGTCTGAATCCATTGCAATCGCACCATGTAGGCAGCTAACTTGAATGTGTTGAATCCACCATCTTACCGATCCCATGTCTACTCATCGCCCAACAGCCAATAGCTCTCACTCTTCCCTTACCCACTTAAAAAGGTACCCTTCGCTTACTTATGCCTCGGCCAAATCGACGAGCCAAGTACGTACGAAGCGCAAAGGCAAGGGTCTTCGTGTTTCGATGATCACCTCTTTCCGAGGTATCTTGAGGGTCTTGGCGGGTATGCATGGAGCACCCAAGGTGTTGTTGCTGCCTCCCCTCCACCCCCATTTCCCCACTACACGTCTGAATGGTAAATGTATAAGAAGGGGGGGGGACAAAGACAACATAACCTCTCTGATTATCTGCTTATGATCCAAAAACTCTCCGAGGTTCGACAACACATACGTGGCACATTGCTTCAAAGGTCCGTTTACTGCCAGTTTTCATTTCGTGCTGCCATTAATCAGAACAAGACACATGTGTCCAACGTGATATCATCCTCCAATACCCAAAACATATCCAGCTAACTTCCACTCGCAAAAGAAAAGTCAACCTGACTGGAACTTAGTTCTCATCAACGACTTATCCTGTTCATCCAAAATGGCTGCATCCACCGCAGACTTCCCTCCCAAACTCACCCCCCACGACCCCCGCGTCGTCTCCAAAACCGCCACCATCAACGGCAAGAAATACCACTACCTCTTCTCCGCCCCTCCCCCTCCTACCGATGGCGGCGACGCTTCCCAACCTCGCGGAACCGTCCTCCTCATCCACGGCTGGCCCGACCTCTCCTTCGGCTGGCGCTACCAAGTACCCTTCCTTGTATCTCTCGGTCTACGCGTCATTGTCCCTGACCTGCCCGGCTTCGGCCGGTCTGAGTCGCCCGCGGAACTGACCGCCTACTCGTTCAAGTCCGTCACCCACGACCTTCTCGAGCTGGTGGAGAGCGAAGTCCCCGGTGGGCGTCAGCAGATTGAGAAGGAAGGCGGAATTATTGTGGGTGGACACGACTGGGGCGGCGCCGTGGCCTGGCGGTTTGCGCTCTGGTTTCCCGACGTGACACGGGCCGTGTTCTCTGTCTGCACGCCCTTCTGGGCGCCGAGAGCGGGCGAGTTCGTCCCGCTGAAGCAAAAGGTCGAGACGGTGCTGCCGAATTTCCGCTATCAGCTGCAGTTGTCCGGGCCGGAATTTGAAGCACAGGTAAAGGGGGAGGAGAAGATCAGGCAGTTCTTGAGTGGCATGTATGGCGCCAAGGGACCGGATGGGGAGCGCGTGTTCACGACGGAGAAGGGCTGTTTGTTTGAAAACTTGCCCAAGATGGGCAAGAGCCCGTTGTTGGATGAGCAGGAGATGGATTACTATGTGAAGGAGGTGGCGGGCAATGACGGGGGAAGCATGAGGGGAGGTCTGAACTGGTATAGGACCAGCGAGGTGAACTATGAGGATGAGAGGGAGCTGTTGAAGCAGTTGGAGAAGAGGGGCAAGAACGCAAATGGGGAGAAGATTGTGGAGCCGCCGGCGCTGTTTGTTCTGGCCACGAGGGATGCGGCCTTGCCGCCGGCGATGGCCCAAGGCATGGAGAGGTTCTTCGAGAAGAAGCTGATGAGGAGAGAGGTGGAGGCTAGCCATTGGGCGTTGTGGGAGCAGCCGGTCAAGGTGAACCAGGCTATTGCGGAGTTTTTGGGGGGTGTGTTGACTGAGGGGGATGCGAAGCTTTGAGCGAGCGGAGGTGCCTTGATGTTCTCATGTTGTGTAACTAGGCTGCTGATTGAAGAAAAGCTCTAGGGAACGCTATCAAAGGAAGTATTTTGCTTAGTAGGGCATCTACCGAAACCGCGGCTGCAAGTAAACCACAACAAATGCGTACTCTTTTTGTAACATTGGCGTTCCTTCCGTCCCACAGCCCTCCTTGGTTGGGGTATGCTCCTTTACTTTCACATATATGGCCCCGACGTTAGACGGTCATGGAACATCGGCTAGCCAGCTAGCTTTCAACAATACAGCCGTTGTTTTAGACCAAAACCCAAGGCGACAACAACCGACAGGTAGAACCCACACTGGGATATATTTTCAAAGTGGGGATAGGTAAAGTTACCTCTAGTATATGACCATATCCTCCCCGTCTTGTATCATCTCATCGCCATCATGGTCCTGGTCATGAGTGGTAGTATCAATGCTAGTGGCAATGACGCCCTTGTCATCGCCTGTACCTGTGCTCAGGGTAGCTGCTGCTGCTGCTGCTGCTGCTGGATCTTGGGATGACAATGACGGAACAGCACCATGGTTAGCATCTTCTGAAGTCTTGTTAGGCTGCTCACCAACTTGATCTTGTTCATTCCGGACAACGTCAACATGGGTTGATGGCGGTGATGGTGGCGGTGGCGGGATCTCAGACTTTGGCGGGACCTTGACTTCATTCTTTGGCGGCCTTCCATGTTTGAGTTCGAACTGGCGCACCTCCCTGGTAATAGTCTCCTCGGCTTCGCGGACTTGTTCATCGAGGATACGCTCTTGTTCTTTGGTGAGCTCCCAGGGTTTGTAGTACTAGTAGTATCATTAGCCCTCGAATCAAGTCGTGTTCGTTGTCTCAGGGGTCAAGTTCTTACAACTACCGGCTCGCTGACAGTTCGCAGACTATGAGCCAAGATAAGCATCTTTTCATGCCGCCGGTGCATCTAAAGTTAAAGGGGGTCTGTTAGCAAGCATGTCCAACAGTCCGTTGTCAAGGGACAACCTACCATCCGCTCTTCGAAGTCCACCTGCTTGGCATCCCGGAAGCGTCTGCGCTCAGCGAGCAGGTCGGTTCTGCGCCTATCATCCTCGACTCTCTGCTGCTGCACTCGTTCCTGTTGGCGGCGTTCAATCTCCTTTCTCCTCTTTTGCTGCGAGTTGTTGGGTGTAGTCTGACTTAGAGTGTTGAGGAGACCACCAAACAAGCGCCTGCCGCGTTTCTTCTCCTCGAGGCTAACATTCTTCCGCGTTTGTTCGGGGCTAAGTGGTGCCTTTCGAGACGGCGGTGCGGCCTGCTCCTTTTGCCTGTCAGACTCTCTCCTAGTAGTGACTGGGCTTTGAACTGTGGTCTCTTGGGCGCGTGCCACAGCTTCGTCCTCCATTGGATGATCATTGTCCTTGGTAGTTGACGTGGCGTGGATCTCCCTCGCTGTGGCGACCGGCTCCTCCATCGAGTCCTTTACGGGTTCCTCTGTCCTGCCGGTTTTTGGCGTCGCTTCCCCTTCAACAATTTCACTGATCCTGTCCTGGACGTTCCCGTCCTCCAGTTTGGTGCGCTTAGCAGCCACGCCATCCTCTGGCGATGGTGAGGAAGTGGCCTTTCTTTTCTGGGTAGACAAGTCCTCTGTTTCCATCATCTGTTCCGAGGACATGAGTAGTGCCGAGTTGGAAAGCCCAGTCGCGTTGTCTGAAGCAAATCGACAGCAGCTTGGCGTTGAAGCTGAAGCAAAGATGTTGGAGTTGTAAGGTATTGTAGCTCGGAAGTGATTGGCAGAAAACGTGATCGACGTGACAAAAAGGTTTTGTTGTGCGTTGCAGTTAAAGGTCGAATGTACTTCTCCCATATACGTCGAATGGCCGGTCCCTGTTTGATCTCCAACACGCCCGGTTCGTTGTTGGAAACTAGGTGGTGTTGGTGGATTGATGGAAGCCAAATTGTTAGTGACCTGTGTCCAGAACTTCTCCAGTGAGAATCACAGTGAGCAGCTTCCCCCCGAAAGTGGATTATTCAGGGTAGCCCGCTGTTCGGGAAGCAGCTGGGAAGCTAACCCCACTTTGCTGCACCGGTCGCATGTCTTGGCATTTGAAGATCCGCTCTTCCACGAGGCTGACAAAAGAAAACGCGGAAAACGCTAGAAGAGACGCCACATCGCTACCCACTTGCCGCCGAGGCTGACGAAATTCAATTCCACATCATCGCCAGTGATCGCATCTTTCGCCTTGCATCACGTTCCCTATCGTCCTCGGCTACAACCACAAGTGCCATTTCGAGACCAGATTCACCGTACAGCGCATTCTCTGAGCGATCACTTTATACTACGCGACAGCACCACGCGTGCCCATCTCGCTCGAATTTCATTTCAATCCTTCTGCCTACCATCACCGTCGCGAAAACACATCATAATCTCTAGCCCACCATGTCTCGCCATCATCCGTACGTCTCTTTATCCTCGCTTCCCTCCTTGCCCAACCCAGCCCTGCTTGACCCTTTCTTGCTAAACCCTCTCGATTATGTACATACTAACATTCCCTTTCCCCACAGTGACCTAGTAATGTGCCGCAAACAATCCGGCATCGCCATCGGCCGTCTCTGCGACAAGTGCGATGGCAAGTGCCCCGTGTGCGACTCGTACGTGCGGCCGACGACACTGGTGCGCATCTGCGACGAGTGCTCGTTCGGCAACTACCAGAACAAATGCGTGGTGTGCGGCGGCGAGGGCATCTCGGACGCGTTCTACTGCTTCGAGTGCACCAGACTCGAAAAGGACAGGGATGGGTGTCCCAAGATTATAAACCTGGGTAGTTCCAGGACGGATGTAAGTTCTCTTCTTCTTTCTCTCCCCTTCCCGCTTGCCGTGGGGTAAAGTGCTTGGAGATGGTGTGCTCGTAAAGATTAGAAGCTAACGAAGTACGTTTTCACACCATAGCTATTTTACCAAAAGAAAACAAATCGAACATTTTAACAATAGAGATGCCCGGGCATGGGCTTGTGTGGGAAGATTGTTTGGGGTGGTTAATTTACTGATATGAGAGGGGCTTCTGACTGTGACGGAAGGAAATCATGTTGGAAGGGGCATATAACTTTGAGAAAAGGGGTTTTTCACAAGCTCAACCTGCATTTGACTTGGCATCAAGGGCGTTAGGGAGTTTTGTTTACATACATAGCATAAGAGGGCAGGCTCAGAGTTGAGAAAGACAAAGCTGAAAAGCAAGCACGTACCATTGATGAGGCGTTAACTAACAGGGCTTTGGTTAATCATTAGAAATGTTGCCATCACATATCAGGTTACAGTGTTTGTGTCATCTCTTCTGATTATGAACTGAAAACGAAACAAGCTATTTTCCGTGATGCAGGACCCATTAACGATAGACTCGAAACAAAACTGTCGCATGCCAAAACCTGCTGCGACAACAGCCGCAATGCTAATTATCATCAGAGCAGGAATATTCCCTCCCTTACTCCCAATGTCCAAAAGAATACTGATACCCAAGCAGCAAAAAGGGGCTCGGATCAAATGTAACTAACTTTCATCCCCATTCCAGCCGTAGCCTTCACTTTCCCCCACCCTTGCTGCACCACTCTTGTGATTCTCTCCCTCACGCTCTTTTTACTGAACATCAGCAGGAACCCGATGATGAACGCCAGCGTCCGGTACAGCAGGAACGGGTTCCCATGGAATGCCGTCATAACCTGATCCAACACGGACCGGATATTGTTCAGTATCAAAGCCGCCTTCGTGCCCGATCCAGGGCCGGCCACCGCACTCGAAGAAGAACCCGTCGTCTTGGTCGCGGTCGGTGACGACGCTCCTTTCCTTGACGGCCTAGCCGGTTTCGAAGACGCCGACGACGACGAGCCCCCCCCGTTCTTCAACGCGGAAGCCTTCTTCTTCAGATTCGGTTTCTTCGTCGTCCCCGTTCCCGTCCCCTTAGCCTCAACACCCGATTCCCCATCCGTCGTCGGTCCGCTCCCTGCACTAGCAGCCGTACTTGCGTTCACCCCCGCCGCCTCTCTCTTCTGCCTTTCCTCCTCCAACCTCTTCCTTTCACGCTCCTCGTTCTCCGCCCTCAGCTTGCGCGCATTCTCAATGTCCTTGCGAATCGCATCCTCCTTTTCGCGCGCTTTCCGCTCCGCTTCTTCCTGCTCCTCCTTCAGCGAGTCCAGCGCCTGGATGAAAGCTTCTTTCCGCTCGTCGTCCAGGACCGCGCTCATGTTGATGAACTCTCGCGCGCACGCCCACTCGTCGTTGCGTGGGAGCACATGCAAAGTGTACAGCTCAAGAATCTTGACGCGCGCGTTGAGGTCTCGCGGGGTGTCGGCGCCATGTCCGGCCGCCACTCCAGATTTGGAGGATGAGCGCAGGCGACGGGCTGGAGAGGCGGAGGAACCACCCGGGCCAGAGGGACCCGAGAGACGGTCCGTCAGATCGAGATTGGGGGTGCGGGCAGCGGCTAGATAGTTTTCTAGACGTTTTTGGTTGAGGGTCTGGGTTTTGGCGTGGCCGAGGAGGAGGGTGGCTCTGTAAAATGGGGGGTGTTAGTGCCTTGTTGGCTGGCTGACAGAAATGATGGTGTTGCTGGCCGACTTACAAGTTGATAACCACATCCGCATCGACATCTCCCTCGGATCCATGGTATCCACTGCGTACTACTTCCTCCCAAACCTCGCCCTCGCGCACCTTGTGGCAGAGAGCCCTCCACTCCTGTGTGCCAAAGGCGTCCTTGCCCTCGTCCGAGTTCAACTCCAGAATCGCATTGAGGATGGTCAGGTACAGACTCCACACCTTTATCCTGGTGGATCGCGACGCCTTGGCGACAGGTGCCGGGTCGAATGCGGCGGCGCCGGAAGCAACATCCCCAGGAGTAGCGGATTCGGAGGGAGACGGTGTGATTAAAGGTAGAACAGTGGACAGGGCTTCGGGTAGTCGACGGGTGAGAAATAGTGTTGAGGCCTGTCTGTAAGCCTTGGAAATGTTGGACGAGGACGGATGGCGCGCCGAGGAGACGGACGACGAGAGCGACGAGAGCGAGGACGACATGATTCCGGATCCGATCATGCTCGGACTGAGATAGGACGATGAATCGAGATTGGAAGCCATTGTGATTTTACTGCCTCAGTCCTCAGTTGTTGATGAATCGATGCGAAGGAATTGTTGCAATTGCCCCTGCGCGATAGACAGTGGAAAAACCGGGGGAAGGGCGCCCTGGAGAGGGGGTTGGAGCGAACTGGGATCGATTGGGATTGGCGGTGGCTAGCGGTGGCAGGTGAACTCGGATGTTGTTTTTTTTCTCGGCCTGAATAGGTAGGAATCTGGTGCACCCCCGTCTGGCGCGCGAAGAGAGCTGAAAACGAAGAGGGAGATGCGTGAACCCGCTCGCTAATGGTGGAAAGCGTTCTGGAGATGATCATCCAATGCGATCAAGCAGTCTCTCAAAATCCTTTATTGATGCAAAGGCGCGGTGCAGTTGAGATGGCAGAAGCAGGTGAACATGCAAGTGTCATTTGATCGATGTCAAATCAAAAGACAAAGGATCCTGTCATTCAATTCACAGCGCTTGCCTTCAGTTGGCTTTTTGGGTCCTGTCAGCTGTGAACCTCGGCATCCTGGGGTTGGCCTAGCAGACGGCAAGGGAGGGACAAGGATGGCATCTGTAATGCCCCTGGGTATGGGGAAGGACACATCCAATTAGAGCCAATTGTGGGACCAAGAGCTTCCAATGTGGAGAATAGTAGAGGCACTTGTCTAACTGCTTTGCGCCCTCTTAGTCAACTGCACGTGAACCATCGTGACCAAGAATCAAGCATTAATTGATCGAGTCAAGGCTTAAGGACTGACATATACGTATCATCGGGGACGATTATCAATGTAATCAATCTTCAAGATGGATGGTGATACGGAGTGTTAGAACCATCGGTCGAAAACATTTCACAAACTCGTCTCGGTGATAGCGTGCCGAGGCACTTCGTCACTGTGGATCGCCAGACAGAATGCAGGTCATAACCTATGGCTACAGATTTCAAGCATCTACTTATCAGGGAAAAGACAAGAAAAACACCGACGCCGACCTGACCCATCATCATTCATCATCCCGAAACCGAGAGCCACGGGGTCTGCACATGTCTCAATACCCGGTCTGATCCCGAGCACGCGCCCGCCCACACCACCGGACCGCAGAAGTGGATCCCACACTCCGGGCTACAATGTAGACGTTAAGAACTGGCCCATCCCAGCTCGTTCCGCTGTCATCCCATCTCTTACCTATCCAACCTGACACCTTGATGGCCGCCACTTTATATACATTCCACATCCATTCTTACTCCCTCCGACCCGTCGTCCTCTTCTTCCTCAACTGCTCCCTCGCATCCGCCCTGTTCTCCTCCCAAATCTCATATTTGCTCTCCGCAATGCTCTCCGGCCTGCCTTCGTCTCTGAAATAGGCAGCCTGCTCCGAGACGCGATCCCTCCTCCTTTCGCCCCCATCTCTGCTATCCCTGCTAGGCTCGCGCTTGCTTTCCTTGTCGGCCTTTCTGCTGCTGCTGCTGCTGCTGCTGTTGCTACTCTTGCTCTCACTGCTGCCATCAAACGATCTGATGCTCTCCGCCTTGCCGCTGTAAATGCTGCTGCTGCTGCCGCTGCCGGAGGTGGATGAACTGCCGCCCTTCATGCTCTTGACTTTGTTGAGGACCGAGAGACCTTGGCTAATGGTCTTGCTGCTCTGGAAGAGGAGGACTGGGGGATTTTGTTAGCTCTGCCAGAACAGGAAAAGGGGAACACTAAAAAAAAGAAAGAGGAAAAAGAAAAAAAGGGGGGTGAGGGGGGGGGGGGAGTCGTACTAGCAGGGACAATAACCCAAGGCGCGTTCATGCCGGCGTAGTAAACCCAGTAGTACAGCGTTTCCGGTCTGCTGTACGAAATGCCGCGAAACTTCTCCTGGAAGAAGCAGGTGCCGAAGTAGAGGGCGACGCCGTAGAGATGGCCAACGCTGACGATGGTTTGGGTGATGTGGCGGAGGCTAGTGTTGCCCTTGATGATGGCAAAGACGGTCAGGAAGGAGAGAGGGCCCCATGTGAGAACGGTCAGAGTCTCAATGCAGAGCATGAATGGATCGGAGGTCATGTACCGCGAGTCGGACAGCGCGTACTCCTTCCACAGCTGAGCAAAGATATCCTGCTTGCCGGCGATGGTGGCGTGGTTGAGGACATAGTAGCCTGGGGAGGCTATTAGCTTTCACTTGATCTCAGAAGAAATGAAAGAACGCTGATGTGCTCACCTTCAAAGAAACAATGCAAGAAACCACCTGTTCACGATACATCTCGTTAGCACACATCATCCTGTCTTGACTCACCAACTCCACTGTCCACTTTGACATCCATCCATCCATCCTGTCTTCTTTCAAACTCTGACATATTCATAGCGTCCCATTTCCCTGTTCCTCACATATCCATATCATCAACCGTTCCACCCTAAGAAAAGAAAAGTGCAACTCACATAGCGTAAACCACGCCAACACCCCCGCATCCTTCCACGTCAACTGCTTATTAACCTTCTTGCCAATGGCCACCGTTCCCACCATCAAGAGGGCCGTGGCTCCACCGAATGCACCAAGCACCATAGGCAGCGTGTACGTGTTGGGCGCATAGTTGGGGACGACAACCTCACGCGGATAGTAAGGATGTTTGTGCCGGCGTGAGGAGCTGGCGTCCCCGGAGGAGACGAGAAACTTTAGGAAGGAGGACATTGTTGCTTCCTTTATGGCCGTATTTGAGTTGGAAAACAAAAAAAAAGAGAGAGAACCGAGAATGTGAATGATACTGGAGGGATTGTTTTGTTGAGGTGGAGATGTTGTTATCGTGTGAATTTTGTGTAAGATGACTGGTGTTTTTCGAGACACAACTGCACAAGGGCCCCGAAGACCGACCACTTATCCACACCGCCCGCCTGGCTGGGTGTGTCCTGCACGCAATCTCAATGCGATGGAAAGCTGGAGTGGGATTTGATAGGATAAACTGACCAACGGCATGAACGCAAGTGCTGCAGCCTGCAGGAGGATGCAGGAGGTTGGCGTGGCTGGAAGGTTTCTAGTGTATCGGGAGGGGTAAGCCGAAGTAGCGTGCTTTTAACCCTAACCCCGTTGATCAAGATACATACTACGGCACTCGGTCCCTGGGGCCAGTTGGTTATCGTCACTTACCCTGCACTTTTCTTCTGTCAAACTTGACCTTGAAGTACATCGCGATCTGTTATAACCAAACTCGCTGGGTTGACTTACAAGCAACATTTACCCTACGTCGCTTGTCACAGATGCTCAATCTCTTCCTCTTAAGCCACCACACCTGGCACCCTTACAAACTCAAACCCAAACCCCTTCACAGCCCGTGGCATACTCTTGATTCCCTTCACTTTCCCCCTCTCATGCAACGCCAACCAAACCGCATCAGCATTGATCGTCTCCAACGCCTCTTTCAATTCCCTCCTCTCCGGTTCATGTAACACATCAACCACCACCTCCAGTATCTCATCAAACATCTCGTCATCCACCCTCACATACTTCAAAATAGCCGTAACTAACCCCAGCGCCGCATCCCACAACTGATGAGCCTGCGAGAACCTGCCTAGCGCTCCGCCCCCAGTCGAGCTCGTTGTCGAAACCAACTGCTTCGAGCTCAGCTGGTGCCCTCCATTGGGACCATGAATAGGCAACACAATCTCCATGTCGTCAACCTTCTTACCACCAGTGATAAACGCTCTGCCGGCTCCCGTTCCCGTTCTTTTGGGCATCTCCCTCCCTTTGACAGCCTCCTTCTTGATACCTCTCAGCCACTTCGCCATCCCATCTCCCCACTCCTGTTTGAACCTACTAGCCATAAAATCGCCTGCGGCTTCACACATGCTTCCCAGCGCCTTGCATGCGGCAATGGCCACGAACGGTTCCGGGTCCTTGATCCGGGCCACCACGACTGGCCAGACCGTATGGACAAGTGGAAGAAATGCGTTCTCGTCCGGAGCTAGGGCAGGGGAGACGGTCGCCACGAGGTCGAGCAGGGACTTGCGCAGGGTCGGCGTGGGAGAGGTGAGGTAGTGCTGCGAGAGAGTGAGGACGCGGGTGAGTAAGGCGTAGGTGGGCGTGTTGGAGGGCTGGTTCTTCTTTTCTTCGTCTTCGCGGGTGGCGAGGGCAGAGGAAGGATCATCTGGTAGACCACCATCCTTTTCGCCTCCTTCTTCCGGGTCGGGGTTTTCGAGTTGGTCGAGGAGTGACTTGGCTTGGGAATCTTCCTCGGTCTTACCCGGGCCCCAGGGTTTCTTGGGGTGCGGTTGGGGAGGTTCGGCCTCTTCTTCTCGGGCTCGCTTGGTTCGCTCAGCACGCTTGTTGAGGGTGTCGACTATGTAGTCGATATCCAGTGGTTGCGGACCTCGCTTGAGGTGGCTGACGGCTTGAGGATTGGATCCTTCGAGAAGCAGCATGTCCGATTTCACGCCTTGAGTGACTATCTCGGAGAGAACGGAGAACAGGCTCTCGACAAATACGGGGTAGCCGTGGTAGTTGTCCAGAGCGGCGAAAATGGCGGCTACAACGTCGTCCAGGAAGGGAATCAATCGTGGCCCTGTTAGACGTATCAACATCACCAATACCTTGGTGGAGGCTGGCGAGATGTCAAAAGTGTTGAGGCGGAGAGAAATGGAATTGACCATGTAATCCGCATTATCGACGACCAGCTCCGAGACGTTCTTGTATCCGCAAGAGGCTGCTATCACGTTCAATGTCGTAATGGCATGACTGCGCAGTTGGGGTGTCGGCGACCCGAGGAATGTGGTGACAGGGTAGAGCACGTCAATCAGCTCCGGCCGGAAATCCTCCTTCATTCTGGATGCCGCAAAAGCAGTCACTTCGAGGGCAATTGCCTCGACACGCCAGTCGTTGTCCTGTGAGTCTGAATGGGAAGCTAAGATGGACGCAGAAAAATCGTAGAGCTCCTGGAAGACCTGCTCTTGGTATCGGTTCTCATCGAGAGAAGACATGTCTACCAGGTCTTCCATATCCGATGTACTGTTATACGTTGTCTTGAGAAGCTCAAACGCAAGCCAGTATGAGGCAATCTGTTCGACGCCTTCCGAGTCTCGCAAGCCGCCTAGCATTGCAGCGGCTAGCTTTGTTTGCTGGGCTGGTGAGCCAATGTTGGCAATCAGCTTGGTGATCTCCGCTCTTGTCGACTTAATGCCCTCCGAATCCAACAAAACTGGAGGGTATAACTGAATATTGGGGCGTGACACGGTAAGGTCCGTGGCTGTGGACAAGCTATTCTCATCAACATCTCCCACCACCTTGGAGGGCCTTGAGCCCTTGACCAAGGCAACTATGCTGTCCCTGAGAGAGTCGCCTAACGAATCGTTCAGCGTGGACGAGTCTATTCCCATGGCTGAGGCCATTTTAGAACCCCTAAGGATATTTCTAACTGCAAGTTGCTTGATACGCTCATCGTTAGATTCGATTAGTCTGGGGAGGCTAATGACCCAGTTGTAAAGCGTAGCCTGAATACAATCGCCCAACTCGGGGTGTATGGCGGCAAGATCCTGCAAGCTAGTTTCGAGCATTGAGCGTTCGTTCTCTTCGTTCTCGACCATCATTGCGCTCTCTACCAGGATCGACTGGCAGTTGGCTAGTGATAAGTGGCATTCGTCCAACAAGCTGATACAGAACTTGCTGACAGCTGACTGGACGTCTGGAGCCTCATGAGTCCGAACTTTGAGCGCTGCGGCCAAGGCGATTTTGATCTGAGCTGTCGTAGCCCTGAGCCAAGCGGGTGTCAGTTCAGTCTGAGGCTTTTCCGCGCCACCGCTGGGCTGAGCGTCGTCGACTTTTGCTTTGTCTTCCATTTCAATCTGCTTTAAGATTCCACGAATCTTGATGTCACTCAACACGTTCACGAGAACGATACCGAGGACCTGTAAGCATCGCACAAGAACCCTCCTCTGTGTCTTTGGCTGTAGTGGCGGTGCCAGGACTCTGGTGAGCGAGGACACGGTACCCGGAAGGAACCGAGCAAGAACATGCTGATTGCGTGTTGTGGTGTAAACAGCCTGCAAGCATTCCAGCGCTTCCAGCTGGACTGTAGGGGCCACACCATCGGTAATGCCATCCAGCGTGACGGTAATAGCAGGGCCTAGTGCGGTCACTGTCTCATTTTCCTCCCCGGGTGCTTTACTTGCCAATAAGCTTGTGGGTCCTATCGCGGTAATGAGAGCTCCGAGGGCTTTGAATCCTTCAACCGCGGTTTCCTCGGGCGCATGACGCTTCTTGGCCTGGCCTGGAGTGCCGCTAATGGTGAAGGAGAAGAAGAAGAGCAGCTGTACGGCCAAGTCCTCCGATATCTTTTGCTTCCAGCCGTATTGGATGAGGAACCTAAGCAACTTGATGATGGCTTCGACTACGCGTACCGGGAACTGATCATGGAAGCGGAGCAGGTGGCTAACGGGGAAGAAAGTATATTCGGCCAACTTCTCATCGAGAACGGTAGGATCACTGCTCACTTGAGCTGCCCATATTTCACTGAGGGATTCGACATGGGTAAAGATTTCTTTGGCAGCGGCCGCCTTGTCTGGGGACTGGAGGGCAAGGCGACTCAAGGGGACACAGACCGTCCTGAGCTGGGGGATGGGTTAGCATCCGCAGAAATGATGGGTCGATTTTGCACGAACCTGCTTGAAGAATTCATTACGCGGACCAGGGGTTGCGGTGGTGGTGGTGGCCATGTTGATTGATTTTGTGCATTATCGGATGCCGTCCATCAGCTTGCCTCTTCTTGTGGATGCCAAGTTGGGACCTGAGGTGTAGAATAGACTGAAAATGCCCGGTCACGGTGGAGGTCCGGTACTGTAGACATGATCCCGTGGTTTGTGGTGACGGGACAGTTTGCGATTGAAGTTAGGTAGAGGTACCCAGGTACTTGGGTTACAGAGGGACAAGGCGCCCTAAAGTCGGGCCAGTGGATTTGACCTTTCTGTCAGCGGATGCTCCAGGCTCTCCCACGCGACACAGCAGGGGACCTGGGGTATCGCAAGTGGAAGGAAGAGAAGGGAATAGAGACGGGAGGTACCTACCTCTAGGTAGCTGCCCGCCCGCCGCTGCCCTGGCGCTGACTTGTAGCTACAGTTACCTAGGGTATACTTGGCGGTGGCCGAATGCGCTATACCTACCTAGGTAGTCGTAGCAGTTTCCGTCCAGTTCTCGCTGTTTTGCGCGACTCTCACCCAAGTCCGGGCCGTCAACTTCGTATTGTAACCTCTCGTCTTGCATTGACGAATCATCCATCCCATCGCCTTTTGATTGCGACGGATAATTTCTAAATGTCTCTTGCCGGTTCGAGACTACCTCGTTCCCACCTCGATCCATCCATCCCATGGCCCTACCGAGAAAAGCTGATTCTGCAACTCCACCCGTCACTTCTGCCGATACCGTGACCGTCGCCGGAGCCGGGACCGTTGGACGACATGCATCGCCGAAACCGGTTCCGAGAGACCGCTCGTCACCCCCGGCGCCACCACCACCACCTTCAGCAGGATCAACGCCACCCAGGATACGGCGGAATACGGCCTGTATTAAATGTCGAGACTCCAAGGTATGAGCATTCTCCGCAATGTATAAATAGTCCGTTCCCATTCAACATACTTGGCTAGGCTGTAATCGACTCAACATCTCCTGCTCTGTTGGCCTTTCTCTCATCTTGCTCCCACCACCACACGAGACCCCGTTCGATTAGGCTGGCTAACGTTACACATACACTGTACAGGTAAGATGTAATGCAAGTCTTAGTCCGGGACAGCCGTGTCTGCGGTGCACCAAGCTAGACCTCGAGTGTATCGTGGACAAGAACTACAAGAGAGCGTCGAAAAAGAGGTTGGTCACATAAAGATCCAGGGTTAGGGTACTCCTAGCCAAGTCAGACTACGGCTAAACTCTTGATAGCAAGCTGGAAGAGTTGGCGGCCGAACTCCAGTCACTCAAGAACACTGTTGCTCCGAGGCCATCACTCGGCGGCCTAACTACCGAACTGCCCCCTATACGTCCGGTTCAGTTCTCGAGCGCGAGTCCGCCAGTCCCTTCACTCCCACAGCTCACCCTACCGGGAACCCTATCCGGAACTCTGCCCGGGGGACTACCGACCCCTGGAACCCTACCCGGGCCGTTTCTTCCTGGTCTCGGTGTTCCAACACTACCGCCTCCCATCTTCACTCGGCCACGACCCTTCTCCATATCCAGCGAAGCCTCTACTCCCACGCCCAGAGCAAGCGATGCCACCTCTGTTAGTTTCAGTCTGGCTGGGCTGAGGCGTCCAGCTCAACCTCGAGCCCTCGGTTCACGCGTGTTCTCCGGAGATGACATAAACTACTATTTCGACAAATATTTTGAGCACTTTCACCCTTACTTCCCCGTCGTTCGCCAGCGGGATCCAGACATCTGCTATGAGAGGGGTCACGTACTCTTTTGGGCCATCATCATGACGGCATGCCGTCGATTTGCCAAGGATGACTCGGTATATCAGTTTTTGATGGACTCGCTGTTGCCGGAAATATGGAACGCCATATCACGGCCGCCGCTGAAGCTGCCCATCATCAACGCCTTGTTGCTCGTTGCCACGTGGCCAAATCCCGATATCAGGTTTTTGACTGACCCGTCAATGATCTTTACTGGCATCGCCATGAACTCGGCTCTCTTGATAGGGCTTCACACCGGCCGTGGTGCTCATACAGAGTTTACCGGACTACTCGACAAAGTCGATACGACGGATGAGGAGGCAACGTACACATGGGCCGGGTGTGCCATTATATCTCACCGGCAAGTCAATACTTTACTCCAAGTATGAACTCGTTCTAACCCGTCACATACAGAGCTGCTGCTTATATGGGATGCCCGTCTCCGAGTCTGCTATTCAATCAGACCGTAGACTCACTTCTGGACCGAAGTAGCTCGATATCGATGCCCCGCTACTTCATCTTGCACCTGGAAACCGCCAGGTTCGCCAACAAACTCATCAGCACAATGTCTGCCTCCCTTGAACAGTCCCAGGGTGTCTCGCACCGCTTAGTCGCGCAAATGGAAGAGGAGTATAGTAAAATCCAATGCTTACTGTACCCAGATAACTCAGGTGAGCAACCGTCTTACTCAACTTGTTTTAGGGTAACATTTATTCTAAACACCACAGCGCAGACCTCGACAACTTCATCCTCCTCTCAACCCTCCTCGAAATCCAGACCTACTATTTCATGCCCCTTCCCGGCTACAGCGAAGAGATGCTCAAGCGCAACGTCATCAAATGCTACACCACCGCCGAAGCCATCATCAACCAAGCCCGCTCCCTCCAAAGCCAATCTGCCTTCCTGCACTACTCGCCCAACTTTGTCTTCCGCACCTTGCTCAGCGCCATCTGCGTGTTCATGACGCTGAACCTGTCTCAGCCCCCGTCCCCGTATACGAAAAACCCCAGTAATGCACTTGATGCCTCATACATGGGCGACACCGCCAACACCAATAACAACAGCACCGCCAACAGCACCACCAATACCAATAACAGCAATAGTAGCGGGAACAACATCAAGAACACCGCCAACAACAAGACAACCACCACCTCCACAACCTCCAACGACACAGCCGACCTCTTTGTCCGCGAAGCCCTCCGCATCCTCCGGTGCTGTTCCGTCCAGCGCGACGACCTGGTCATGCGCGCCTCAAACATGGTAGAGAAGTACTGGAACATGCGGCATACTTTGCCGCGGTACGAGACGTTGTTGGACCCCACCGATCCTGATACGAACAGTCCTCAGCATCCCCATAATCAGCAGGACGGGATGCGAGGAGCGACGACGGTGTTTAGAAATCGGCTAGGGTCCAGTCTGACGTTTGGTTGTTTGAGGAGGTGGAAGCAGCATGTTGAGAAGGCTTGGGCGAGTGTTGGTGGGATGGGCATGAATCCTCCGGGCCATGGGCAGGGCAGCCACCAGGGACAGCAGGGGGGACAAGGACTGGGTCACAGCCAGCAAGGTCACCAACAAGGTGGGCAAGGTCAACAGGGGCAGCATGGTGCTGGAGTTTATGGCGACAGCGGTGGATATGGGCAAAGTCAAGGCGGAGGAGGACAATACACAGGTGCTGTTGCGGGTGGGATAAGACAAGGTGATCAACAGGGAATGAATGGGCAGGAGGTGCAGAGTATGCCTGAAGATGGGGGTGGTGAAGGTATTCGTAAGTCTTCTTTTTTCCTTCCTTTCTTTATTTTTTTTGTTTTCCTTGCCTTTCTACCCGGTGTCTATTACCAACAATCTTCAGTGGCTATGCTAACTCTTTCTACTTAGCAGATGGAAGACTGGGAAACAACAATCCTCAGGAATCTTCTCTTGGTGGATTGGCAGACCCCTTTCAACGGCTCGAATGGAATGCGTTTATGGACGACTTTGACTGGAGCTTTACTTCTAATTACTTGGGTGTTGGTCCTATATAGTAGAATTGAATTGGACTTGGGATTTGGACTAGGATCGCATGAAAGGGTACATAGGCAGGTTTGTAAAATGGGACGGTATAGTGAAAAACTTGTCTATAGCAAGCTCATATTTTTGAACTCGTTGTCGAGGTTTGTCGTTAAATGTGCGCACATAGAGGTGTGTATGCTGTAGCTGTGCAGGGGTTTGCCTTTCTCATCTTGCCACTGTAGAGTGGAAGGTCGAACGGGAATCAAAAGCAGCAACTTTACTCGCTTATCACAACTCGATTTTATTTCACTGTCATGCCGTCCATATGTGTTCTCTAAAATCCAAGACTGACCTAAGTCTCTCTAGAGTCCACAGGTTTTCGCTTTCGGCGTACCAGCCAGTCTTACTGAAACCGAAGCTTTGTACGCCTATTGAACCTCATGAGAATCCCCGTGCGAAGTATGTCGCATAATCTGCGCGAGTCCAGGTCATCCACGAACTTTAAATCGCCTTCAGGGCAAAAAAAAAAATTGTCATCACATTCTTAGACTTCGCTGTTCCAATCTCACGGGTGCAAGGTTTGCTTGCTTCCCTGACTCCCCAGGTGACAGTGTCCATGTATATTTTGTCAGTTTTGAAAATTTTCAACGCTCAAACCGTGTGGGATAGGCTGCCTCCGACAGCTTCGAGCATGCTTGGTTGTTCATGAACAATTTTTCCAATGGGAGTAGAAGAGTGGGTTAAATGGTATTTGAGTGTCATCATCAGTACTCTTCGGACATTCATCTGGTTTCCCATCTTCCTCGTACAATAGCCTAACCTTTATCGATTTTTGTGTCATGGGAAGTGCTCTCACACGAGAGAACATACCTACCTTTGTGCACACTTCCGGGGAAAAGGTTACCCAACGTTTGGAAATCGAATTTCACACTTACGAATCCCCAGCTTGTGCCTGTCTACAATTGTGGACGTTACCTTGTGTCGCCAGGGCACAGACAGGGTAGAAGCCAACCAGTCTGGATTTACTTAGTCAGAGCCTGGATACCACTGATTCATGTCAACCTTGAAGGCAAGAAACGGCCACTACACGTACTCCATCTACAAAGCAAGAAGGCACTAAAAGAGCTGGTGTGGTCTATGATTGCACGCAATATTGTTCGATGTTTGGACAGCGTGGGATCAAGGGTACCGTTGATGACGGCACATCTTTGGGATAATAATCATCCACTTGTCTATCTTCAACATTCGTTTAGCCCAGCCCAGACCACCTTGGCAAAGACAGAACCCTCTGTGTCTTTTCCGCATGTTGTCAAGGGTGAAGATATTGCCCGCGCCGCGGAAATTTCTTGTCGACAACGTCGAGAGCTTGACATATTCTTCCATTCAGAGAAATGATAAAAGTAACGACATGTCTTCCATAGGAGACTCCAAGAAGCTTTCCAAATAAACTCATAATCAAAAAAATACTGTCACCCTCCCCCACATATCTGATGGGGTAAGGGGTGACAGTATTTTTTGACTGTCACTGTATCGAGGATTTCGGATGACTAAAGAAAGCAACAGTAAAAGGCAATACTCTCTATTGGGCCGAAAACAAGGGGACCAGGCCACGTCGATAACTATAGGCGATATGGTTTCCCATTTGAGGGAGAGGTTGCGACGGGCATGAGAGAACAAGGAGCACAATATTGGGGTTAGTCAAGTTGTTTCTCGGATGTCCACCTAGCATGTTGCCACTGAGCCATCACACTGTCGTACCCTTGAGTCGGTCGAGAACCATGTTCAGCAGGGGGATGTCATCTCTGTTCCATCACCATAGTGGTAACTACCGGGCGGAGAGCGATCGAGCTGCTGGGATACCCTCCGTTTCAGATAGTCGATCCCGTCTCCCTTGGCTTGTATGATCGTCTTCAGGTATGTATAAAACATGAGGCTGGTATTCGTCAATGGTGACACAGAGAGCAAGTCTTCGTTAAGGGTCATGACAAGTGGCGCATAAACCTTTGGTGGTGGTGTTAGGCAAAAACACTTGACGCCTACTTGTCGATACATATACACCACTTGACTAGTGGCAGATGACCTTGAAGTCATGAATCGAATACTGATTCTCCAATAATGGAAGTCCAATGAACAACAATCCACTTGGATAACCAGTCAGCACCGTGGGTAACTGTGATTTTGCTTTTCGCTGCTTGCCATTTTGGCACACCCACAAGGACGTTGCATACATGAGTCGAAGAACTCGTACAGATTCTCGTAGTCTCTCACACAGTCGTAGATACGTCAAAGTAACCTTGCGTTTAGTGCCGATGACCTATGTTTCATCCCTTGCTGTGATCAACCAACATTGCTGTCCCCGGGTCCCAGGATGATGAGCCAAGATAAGAGACGACATGAGCGCACAACGTACGGCCTCTTCCATACATCCTTGTAAAAGTGGTTATATCCGGATATCGTGCGGCTCGCAGAATGATGTTGAGATGGTGTCGTGAAGCTGATTTGGGGGCGACCTCTGGTGCAGCTGAATGCATCACCAGACCCCAGATAGAAGGGGCAATTGGTATCAACCTAAACCCATCACTTATTCATGGCTTCTCTTGGTCAACCCGAGATGTGTACGCTCGACGCTCTGTCCGATTGCATGATTTGTCTGGTGCACGAACATTCCCAGTACCGTGCTGGCGGATGGCCCTGGGTACAGGACCTTTGACCCCGTAGCCAATGACAAGCCTGAGCCTCGCTCTTCCGCACGGACATTTGATCTTGTCGATGGCACGTCCCCTGGCTTTTTTTTTGGTCAGCCGAGCCGATGACCAGCATATCGGCACCTCGGGATATTCCCAAAGTCGGAATACTTGATGGCCAAAAGTGTTGCGAAGTTCCGAATGAGGTCCGGCCTCAAGGGTTGGCAATGCAGTGTCGTTGTATCATCGGAAAGCACCACTGCCCGACCAGTGTGCCCGACTAATCCCAGACCATGTCACTCATCCACAAACACACGGACGTGGAAAGCCGTACGACATTGACTTGACCCGGAAATGGTCCAGGTCTCTCTGATCCTGGCCTTGTCGGTCTCTTTTTCATCCTTGCGAGGTTGTTGTTTCTCGGAAAGCAGCCGTATAATTTCGGACTTTTACCCACATGTCGATGTCGTGGAGCTTGCAAGGAACGTCGTAGCCGATGTGACCCCCTTTTCTCGCCTGCCTTTTCCTTCTCTGGCTTCCATCTCGCCGGCGGTGGTCCGCTTGACCGTTTTCTGCTTTCTGAGGACGCCTTACGTAATACGATCATGGTTCTGGAAAGAAGCTGTGACGGCCTTTTTTGTTTCATCTCTTCTGTTCCTGGCCCCTGAAAGCTGAATCAAGCTCACCAAGACATAATCCCCACAGTGGGCCCAAAAGGCGCTTGTTTCACACCGTCGACTCCCAGGTTGCATCTAACCTGGGTTTGGTAATTTCTCCTCCTCGAGTTGGGCGCACAAGAACGCTGCTGAGTCCGAGCGCAGAGTGATAATGTTTGTCTGGTGGTGGACATGGCAACACTAGACTAAACCAGCCCCCAAGTCCTGCAGGACAGTCTGTGTGAAATCGGTAAAATCAGCGGAAATGCCGGTTCCTGCGTCCTCTAATGATTCTGTAATGTTAGCGTGCATATTTGCGGGGCCATGTCGCATTGTGCCCCTTTTTCGTCTCTGGGGACTTGTTCTCTTCTGGACACGCGATGGCATGCTAGAACATGCCTCAATTCATGCGATATGGACGCAGGCACCACAGGCACGGCAGGTACGCAGACAGAGCAGACAGGGTTCGCCAGGACCAACATAGATCCGATTGGCCGTCGTGGTGGACGGGGAGACGTGGGGGACGACTGGAGGTTGCCCTGGATGCTGTCCCGGCTGACGTTGCAGAGGTGCGCTTCTTGCGACCGAAGAGCCTCTGTTTCAAGAGCTGAGCTCCCGCTTCGTCGACCTCACCGGCGTCATTGTTTCTGTTTCAGGACCTGCCTTGGCACCTGCTATCACGTACCGTGCGCTTCGCTGGAACGCCGTCCAGATCAATCATGTTCTTGATCATGATCTCCCTAGGACGAACGTAAGACAGATCAGCCGCAAGTGAGAAGTGAGAAAGCGGACTGAGGGGAATGATCCGAACAAAAGTGCCGAAGCGATATCCAGGTGATGCTGACATTGGCTGGTCGAGGAATGACATTGTTGACCTGCTGAGGCAAAAGATCAGAAAGCAATCCAGTTCGGCATCCAGGGAGAGACTCCACGCTGTCGTCGTGATCGATGTGTCCAAGACAAAGTCTGAAGACCAAACGGACTCACATTCCATTTCCTTCCTTTCCTCCGGGTCTTGATTGATGGCTCCTCATTCTTTTTGCTGTGGCAGGGAAGGAGCTTCCTAACGTGTACTTGCAAACGAAACACTCTTCGACCCTCAGCTACTTTCTGTACACCTGGAAGGCTTTGCCGGTGTTGCATTAGAGGTAGGTACATACCTTATCTGCCACTTGCTCCTTCCATGTCTGCTGTAGGTGAGAGTGACGGATAAGAACGGAACTTACCTTCCACTTGGGCCAGTGACATTTTGCTGCCTGCCCCCCTGTTGTCAGTTTGTTCCCATGCTGAACCCGCTATAAACTTGGAGGGACGTCATAGCGCCAAAAGCACCTCGTAGGCCCCCCGTTCAATCCCGTCCCAAATCCAACATCCACACCTCCATAATACGCATCGTGATGTTTTGTTGACTTTCAGAACCAACCACACCATTGAGTACTATAGATTCGAAATAATTTGACGCCTCAGTAGCTTGCTGTTCCCCTCTTCGCGCGGGGTATGTCATGTCAATGTGCCACTAAATCCACCAGATTGTACAGATCCCGTTCTGCATAACTGTAGATCCGCCCGGTACCTGCATTTGGCTGCACTAATCCCGCTTTTTTGCCGCTGGCATGGCCGAATCACAACCGTCAACAGAGACTCACAGCCAACAGATTGACATGCGGCGCAAAACCACCAGCGGTTTTTTTTTTCTTTCCCCTCTTTGTGCTGGGCCTTCGTTCTCTGCAGGAGCACTGGGGCCTGCGACCGCTTTTGTCAGCCCCCTCAAAGTGTGATGCTATTCTTGGACTTTGAGACGTAGTCGCCTGGCGACTGGTCGGTATCCCACAGGGAAAACAACAGCCGAGGCCCCAGATGCCACTGTTTACTGCGTCTATGGTAGTGTCACCATCGAAGAGACTATATCTCTGAAACGTCCTAGCAACCAAAGCTTGGCTTGTTGGTGTCTCAACCTTAAGTCGTAGACGGGAAGCCCGCAACATAACTGCGCGTGACCTGGGAAGACGGCACTTGATAGTGTTTCTCCCAAATATGGTCAATATCGTCAGTGGGTATTCTGGCGAATGACAAATCGTACCGTTGGCTAGCTGCGATCTGAAAAGGGCCATACAGTACTGCTCAGATAGGCGTGCCATAGATATTCTGATACAGGCACTCTCGTGTTTCGGAATATGTTGGTCATCACATCGTGGAGATCCGTCTAAACAGCAAGGGCACATCCCCACTCCTCCCTACACAGTACAGTAGGCCTAACGGTTCCATCCTATCCGTGGCCATCGGCTGCCGGCCCGTAGTCAGGTCCCGAGAAGCTCAGACCTAGCCGGGCAGAGCTTTGTTCCCAGGTCATCATATCGGTATAGCTTTTGTGCATTGTACTGAAGGAGAGCATCAGCCAGGTTCGTTTTCCTGACACGTTTGGAAAAAGAAAAAAAAAGAGAAAAAAAAGAAAATTCGATGGGGTAGTGGCAGAGCCTGGACAGAAGAAATCAACTTGATTTCTTACTCTGACGATTGAGCTGGTTTGGGAACGGGCGACTGGGTTTTCAGCTGGGTGCCTGGCTTGCATTCTTGCCTGACCCAGCATTGTCGGTTAATTAACTTGCAGTCCAGATGAGAGGAAGGGGTGTAAGTTGATCAAATCGAAAAACCTCCATCCACACTTCCCACCTCTTTAGTGGGGTTTACCAGCTGCGCAATGACAACAGTCATTCCTGGTGATCCGAGGCTCTTAAGAGGAAAATACCCTAATGGGAGATCAAAAGCACCGCCCCAAATATCACCCAGATCGCATCTGCTGTGCAGTCTGCTGACTGGCCAAGGGCGGAAAGGGTGCGGTTCATGTTGCGGCCGAGGTGGGCTCGTCGACTTCTCAGTGAGCGTATGGGACGCTTGCTGGACGCTGTGCCGGGAAAAATTGGAACTTGGCGCCGACAAAAAGTCAGACCCCTGCTTGCCCTTCTCCCCCAGAGCTATTTCTGAAGCATGTTTCAGACTTTTGACTGGGTGGCATGGGCATCATGGCTGGGGACACGGTTCAGCACGACCCCTCTGCAATGGTCGAAGACACTTCGCGGCAACACTATTATTGGCCTGAGCAAACCTTGGATTCTGGACATCCACCACGACACAAGAGAGCGATGACGAGATCCAGTCAGGCCGTTGAAGTGCCTAGAAGCCTAAAGCGCATGGTCTTTTCTTTTTTCTTTTCTTTTTTTTCTTCTTTTTTTCTTTTCTTAGGCTTTGGGTTGTGGGAGATGACCTCAGTAGTCCCGTAGGACTCGTCACGGTATGAGAACCAAGCTGAGCGCAGTGTGCGGTGGTAGCAGAGAGTAACAAGCTAAGAAGTTGAATGATGTCGTCCCATGCCGAATCCAGTGCGACAACTGGAAAAGCGTGAATAGAGACATTCGATGAACATGGACGTAGGTCTTAGACAGACCGAGGAGGACACAGAGGGAGAAGAGAACCGAATCCAATATCATGATTCCCTCTGCTCTGTGCGACGCCAAGTGCCTGCGCCGCTCGAGCACTTTGCCGCTTGGGTGCTTCCAGATTGAACGAGGCCACCGAATTCGCCTCCTAACCAGGAACTGAGTGGTTGTGTCGACTGTGTTGCCATATCAATCAGCCGCGGACACGCAACGTACGAGTCGTCGGAAGCCTGTGGTTCAGTTCGTTACTTTCAAGTGTCGGGCTGGTTGCATACAACGGACAACTTTCGGTTGGTGTAAAAGAGTTTGAGAGGTGATGTCGTTAAGTCCTGGTTTAACCTTGGATAGAGGTACCTGTATCTTGGTACAGATGCTGTAGGTACCTCTAGTGAGAAATGCCATGCACTTTCCCACTGGGTACTTCTACACTAAGTCTAGCAGGTGCTTAGACGCACTTGCATGCACAGCAGACACCACGTTCCTGCCCGGGCCCGTCCATCGACCCGCTAACAACCCTTTGGGGTTCAAAAGATCGAAAGAGATCGATGGAGAAGTGCACGACTCTCCGAGATGATCATATCGTACGTTGTTCGCGAATCTCCACCTTCCTGCCGATGGATAGCAATGAGAAAAGAGCCGAACCGCGGAAGCAATCATGCCCTGATCGAGATTTCGCGCTCCGGAGTCGAACGAAAGCTACCCCTGGGCCGGCAAAGATCCAGATCCCAACGTCCAGCCCCACTCATACCTCTATCCGCCATTGAGGTGGCTCGTGCTTTTGATGGTCATTAGCACATCCGGCACTGTCCAGATAGCTTCAACCCCATCGATTGAAACCACATCAAGTGTCCGGACATGACGACACTGCCCGTCGTTGAAAGTGTCATATGATTGCAATTCTCTGCATTGCTCTGGTTATCTACTCTGCTTTGCGCTCATTCGGGCAGCCCGAATGTTTTTCTGCGATCATTTGATGACCGACAAAAGATGCCCTGCTCTCATGCCAACAGATAAAACAACAATGCCTATGCGTACTGTGTCGTTGTAAGATCCTTGGTACTTAGCACATGGTTCGGAGGGGGTCCTATAAGATGCCTGCCGTACCCTCAACTCATTTCCGAGAACGCGGAAATTGTGGTGGTTCACGAACATGGAAGAGAGAACTTCCCCTGAGGAATCCTCGGGTATGTTTGCCCTCCAATCAGTTTGCACTTGATTCGAAAGACTGGATCGCTACTCCGGAAACTTTGTAGACAAACGCGTAAATAAGCTGCGACGAGCCTGTAACTAGACAAGTATAACCAGATCACTGTAGTCTTGCAAACGGAATGACAATCAATCATTCGCATCTCTGTTCACCATGTAATCACGATATCATCACTAGTTTCCTATTTTCCTCTCATCAGAGTATCGTAGACGGGCATACTTGGAGGTAGCAGATCAGATGGAGAAACCAAATACAACTATTTTTCAAGCCATGCAGCGGGTAAGGCACTCGTCATCTAAACTATCATTGACCGGTTCATGCCATATAATCAACAGCAACAACGCAACCTCGTTAAAGTGTCGTCTTTTGCTCCAACTGTGGATGTCTTCAAGCCTTCGTAGTATGTGTCATAATTAATATACTACGCCACTGTTTGCTCTATTCAAGCGTACGCCGTCGGGTGCCGAAGCTGGAGGCTGTTGCCCAGAGCTCTTTGGGCCGAGTCATAAGAGAGAGTCCAGGTTTAGCTCGAAGAGATTCACGTAGGAACAGCACTTAAACAGCCGGTATGGTAGGAAACGGGATGAGATGTCTAGTATTCGGAACAAAGGCCATCGAAGCATTGTATGATGCTGGCATTCCCAAAAAAGAGAGAGAAAAAAAAAAGAAAAAAATGCTACTGGTGAGAACAAATTGTTATGACGATTCACCAACAGCAAGCAGAAGCGGGAAACGGAAAGAAAGGCAGAAAGACAACGGTCCGGTTCAGGCATGCTCATCCCAGCTTGCACCCTGGCGGGCACAAATAGTGTACGTACTCTCAGGGACAGCCTATCAACAGAGTCGCTTTTTGTGGCTTAATATCCACTCCGGTTAATGCAGCGCTGCTTTAATAAATGTACACCGTAAAACCAGATCATGTCTCTATAGTCACACCCTCCCGCAGCTGCCACCAGAATAACCCACGGACCTTGTCGCGGTTCCGGTCCCTTCGTCCTCCAAGGTGACGATGGATGTGAACCGAAAGTTGCCATCGACCGCCCTCCACTTCAGAGCCTTTTGCTCGAGTGCAGATACGTATAGGTGAGTAGTGATAAATTTGCCGTGCAAAACTCTTTGACGTCTACCCCTCCGCTAGGTTGCCCCTCACATCGCGCGCGATATACCTCTAGACACTCGCCAATGATGTTGACCAGGAATGAGTTGTTCCGCGCTTGGACCATGGTGTAGACTACCTACTGGATGTTGGATTCCATTCTAGTACCTTGCCTGAATGTACCTACCATCTCGCTGTAGCTGTGGGCGTTGACAGGTTGGGCCCTTGTCTCCACGCCTCGACGGGTCATTCCTTCCTGTCTGTGCCATACAGGCATCTCATGGTTGATGCCGCGCCATGATAGAACTTGACCCATCCGGCAGTTTCCACGATGCTTCGCACCAACTGCGAGCCCAAGACACTCTTTCGACGCAGTGACAGACAAGATGAATAGGTACCTCTTGAGGCCCGTTCTGTCGTCGGGTATCTGTGATTAGGTTGTATTTATTGCCGCATGCCCCAACCGTCGCCTATTGTTGTTAGTGCTGCAACCCGGGCTCATAGCATGGGCAGCTTCGATAGGCTACAACCCTTTTTCTG